GGTTTAAAAGTCTTGTGCCGTGGTGACTTATGTGTGTACTGTACCTACAACCACGGTGACAACCACAACTATAACCACGCCGACAACCATGACGACAACCATGACACAATCATGCCAACAACCATGCCTATAACTACGACAACAACCACGATGTCAACTACGACACAACCATGCCAGCAACCACAACACAACCATGCCTACAACCACAACTATAACCACGGCGACAACCATGACATAATCATGCCAACAGTACAACAACAACCAAACATCAAATACCAAGAATAAGACAACCATATATAACTAAACATGGGATTGGACCCTCTTACTGAGTGCCCCCACACACACACACACTCACTCACAAACAGTAAAAAATCATTCAGAAAAACCTCACCCAACCAGTAGTCTTACCAGGGTTGAACTGACCCTATGAAGAATCTCTCTCTCTCTTTCCTTTTCCTCATCTCCTGCTCTGTCTATCCATCTGCCTTTCTCTCACTTTCACTGACTCTCTCTCTCTCTCTCTCTCTCTCGACGTAACCTGCCGAGGGTGGACGCAGGATACGAACAGCGGGTGTGGAATGGAGCAGTGTACGTTATCACCAAGTTTGTCATTAACAAAGTGTAGGCTCTGAAGACTACAATAATGGACTGCCAGTGAACAGACCACCACCGTTTGTTGTTGTGTGGGGGAGGGGAGTGGGGGAGGGGTGAGTGTGTGGGGAGGGGTAGTGTGTGGGGAGGGGTAGTGTGTGGGGGAGGGGGTTGTGTGTGGGGAGGGTTGTGTGTTTGGGGAGGGGTTGTGTGTTGGGGAGGGGTTGTGTGTGGGGAGGGTTGTGTGTTTGGGGAGGGTTGTGTGTTGGGAGGGTGGTGTGTGGGGAGGGTTGTGTGTGGGGGGAGGGTTGTGTGTGGGGAGGTTTTGGGGGTGGTGTGTGGGGAGGTTGTGTGTGGGGAGGGTGGTATGTGGGGGTTGTGTGTGTGGGGGAGGTGGTGTGTGGGGAGGTGGTGTGTGGGGAGGTGGTGTGTGGGGAGGGGTTGTGTGGGGGTTGTGTGTGTGGGGAGGGTAGTGTGTGGGGAGGGTGGTGTGTGGGGAGGGTTGTGTGTGGGGAGGGGTTGTGTGTTTGGGGAGGGTGTGTGTGGGAGGGTGGTGTGTGGGGGGAGAGGTGGTGTGTGGGGAGGGTTGTGTGTGGGGGTTGTGGTTTGGGGAGGGTGAGTGTGGGGAGGGGTTGTGTGTGTGGGGAGGGTTGTGTGTGTGTGGGGGAGGGGTTGTGTGTGTGGGGAGGGTTGTGTGTGTGTGGGGAGGGTTGTGTGTGTGTGTGGGGAGGGTTGTGTGTGTGGGGAAGGGGTTGTGTGTGTGTGGGGAGGTTGTGTGTGTGTGTGTGGGGAGGTTGTGTGTGGGGAGGTTGTGTGGGTGTGGGGAGGGTTGTGTGGGGTGTGGGAGGGGTTGTGTGTGTGTGGGGAGGGGTTGTGTGTGTGTGGGGGAGGGTTGTGTGTGTGTGTGGGGAGGGGGGGTTTGTGGTGTGGGGAGGAGGGGTTTTATGTGTGGGGAAGGGGGTTGTGTGTGTGTGGGGAGGAGGAGGAGGAGGTAGTGTGGGTGTGTATAGGGGGGATAGTGTAGTGTATGTGTATGTGTGTGTACGTGTGTGTATCGAATTATCTTCCCGTTCCACTTCTCTCTCTTCGCCCCTCTCTCTGTCTCTCTCTCTCTCAGATAATCGTCACCGTCACATGCTGTCTCAATAATCCGGGGGAGGGAGGGGGCATTACCGGCCCCGGCCACTGACGTTATCAAACCCGGGCTAACGTTTTCAATCCTTAATCCGGTGTGGGTTTCTGTAATGCGTTCGTCAGCCAGATACGGATTATGCATTATGTGAATACTGACTCATATTATTTACCCCCGACATGATATAAATGTTTGTGTTTTTCTTTTGTTTTGTTTATTTTTGTTTGTTGTTTATTTTTTTCTTGTTTATTTTTGTTTGTTGTTTATTTTTGTCTCTTGTTTATTTTTGTTTGTTGTTTATTTTTGTTTGTTGTTTATTTTTTGTTTTGTTTATTTTTGTCTCTTGTTTATTTTTTTTGTTTTATTTTGTCTCTTGTTTAGTTTTTGTTTGTTGTTTTATTTTTTGTTTTGTTGTTTGTTTTTGTTTGTCGTTCGTTGTTCTTCTTGTTTGATAAGTGATATTTATTGTTCTGTTTTCGTACTCAAGAGGTGAAATTATTGTACTCAAGGGGTTAAATCACTGCACTCAAGAGCTTAAATCCCCTTACTCAATAGATTAAATCACCGTACTCAAGAGGTTAAATCACTGTATTCAAGGTTAAATCACCGTACTCAAGAGGTTAAATCACTGTATTCAATGGGTTAAATCACCGTACTCATGGGGTTAAATCACCGTACTCAAGAGGTTAAATCACCGTATTCAAGGGGTTAAATCACCGAACTCAAGAGGTTAAATCACTGTATTCAATGGGTTAAATCACCGTACTCAAGGGGTTAATCGTACCAGTTATCACCGAACTCAAGGGTTAAATCACCGAACTCAAGAGGTTAAATCACCGCATTCAAGAGGTTAAATCACCGGACTCAAGAGGTTAAATCACCGTATTCAGGGTTAAATCACTGCACTCAAGAGGTTAAATCACCGTACTCAAGGGCTAAATCACCGCACTCAAGAGCTTAAATCACCGCACTCAATCATTAAATCACCACAATAAACAACACATTTAACATAATCACCCAACTTGTGACCCCAAGCACAACTTTCTAACCCCACCCCACCCCACCCCTACCAGCCCCTTCCACCATACCCCTCACCTACTCCCACACCACCTTCCCCCTCCACCACCACATACCCCTCCCTACTCCACACACCACCTCCTCCCACCACCACCACCACATACCCCCACCCACTCCCACACCACCTCCCCCACCACCACCCCCTCCCCACCCCTCCCACACCACCCCTCCCACCCACCCACACACCCCCACCCACTCCCCACACACCTCCCCCCCCACACCCCCCCACCACTCCCCACCTCCCCCACCACCACCATACCCCTCCACCCTACTCCCCACCACCTTCCCCTCCCACCTCCCACCCCCCTACTCCCCACCTTCCCCCTCCCACCACCACATCCCTCCCCCTCCCTCCCCCCACCACCACCATACCCCTCTACTCCCACACCACCTCCCCCCACCAACTAATCCCCAACACCCCCCTCCCCATAAAACTCCTAATCACAAATCCCCAATAACACGAATAGTTTAGCCAACACCGACTCCATTAACAAGCCATAACTACTTGTTCCAACACCTAACAATAAGCAAGTTACGATACCCGGTGTGGAAGAATTACAATAGAAAGTTTGGTCCAAAGTTGGGCGTCTGATCGTATTAATAAATCATAAACAAAAACACAGAGAGAGGATGAAGTTTTATTTATCGAGTTGGTGAGATTGTTTATAGAGAGAGAGAGTGTATGTTCCCTCCACCCTACCCATCCATAAAGACCTTCCTTCACCCTCCTACCCACACCCACAAACCACCCTCCTACTCACCAACCCACCCACAAACACCCTCCCCACCCACAAACCCACCCTCCTACCACTAACCCAACAAACACCCCTCCCACCACCCATACCTTCAGCCCCCCCCAACACCTGAGGAGCTGTCGTGGCGGTGTTCGTGTGGTGTGGCCGCCTCCTCGACACACCTCACAAGTGACACATCCATTATTTATAAGCCCTGGCACGGGCGGGTCAGCTGAACACTGCTCACGCCCACCGTCTAACTCGCTTCAAGTTTTTGTGTGTAAATTGGGTAGATTTTCATTTTATCTGGTGACTGAAAGTTGACGTGCTGGCGTGAGGAGGGGCTAAGAGGGGTGGGGGTGGAGGAGGAGGTTGAGATCAGATGGGGGTTAGGTGGGGAGGATGATGAGGATGGGAGGATAAGGTGTGGTGTGAGAGACGGGAGGGCGGGCAGTGGGGAGGGGAGACGGGAGAGGGAGGAGGGAACATGAGGGGTGGGGTTGGGGATGGGAGAGTGTTACAATGGTTTAGCTTGTTACTATTATTATTATTATTATATTTTACACACACACACACACACACACACACACACACACACACACACACACACACACACACACACACACACACACACAGGTGTCTACGGTCATCAGCACCTCCAAGTAACAGCGCCTTCGCCCCCTCCTTCATCCCAAGGGATCCTCATCCTATGAAGTCCCTCACAACCAGGACTCGAAGGACCTCCTACTCCACAACAAACCTGCCCCTCCTTCCCCTGCCCCTCTCCCTCAATCCCCCTAAAACCTGAAACATCTCGTAAAAAACCAGGGCAAGATAAACCCAGGGTCTCTCTCTCTCTCTCTCTCTCTCTCTCTCTCTCTCTCTCGACACTTCCAGCTTCCAAATTCCAGTCCCAAAACCCCTGGAAAGATATGTGGAAGGAGATGTTTTCTCTGGATGTTCAGATTTAGATGCAAGGAGGAAGTTTTGGTGGATGTGTTGGTGGTAGTGGTGATGGTTCTTAGAGTAGGAGGGGTGGTAGGAGTGGAGGTAGTTGTGGTTGTGGTAGTAGTAGGAATTGGTTATGGTATAATAGTAATGGTGGTAGTAGAAGTTGGTTGTGATAGTCGTTGTGGTTGTGGTAGTATTAGTGGTTGTGGTGGTGGTGGTTGTGACGATCATGTTAGCTAATATCTTGATCACGAAGACAAGTCCAGTGCGGTGGCTGACAGTAGCGGGCGGGGCTGACAACACCAAGTCGCCGCCCACACACACACATTTATCGCTGACGGCAGTGGCTGGCTGACAGAGGAAGACTCTAGACAGATCATCTCCGCTATCATAACCACCCTTTCCGCCACATGTAAAGCTAAAATCCCTACAGCTACGTCTAATATATAAAGCTATGAAGATGCTCACGGTGTCCCTGAAGGAAGGAAGGAAAGCTGGAAGGAAGCGGTACTAACCTCGTGGAGGGAACGCGGATGTGAGTCGTGGAAGGAGTTTGTGTAGACCCCCTTCTGGTACGGCAGGAGGACCGAGGAGAACTGTAGGAGGGAGACACACCAGGGTTAGTCGTCGCCGGCAGCACCACCACCTGGGCCGCCTTCAGCAGCTCACCTATACTATAAGCCGCTTCAAGGAGCCAACCCCCACAACAGTTCTTAAGACAGATGTGGCAGAAAATCCCGTCCCACCCACTCAAGAGCTGCCAAGCCACTCTTTGAAGCCATCAGTTGCCTCCAGAGCTACAAAGCCATTATCAGGAGCCACAAGCAAACCCATCAGAGCTACCAGCCACCCATCAGAGCTACCAGCCACCCATCAGAGCTACCAGCCACCCATCAGAGCTACCAGCCACCCATCAGGCTACCAGCACCCATCAGAGCTACCAGCCACCCATCAGAGCTATCAGCCACCCATCAGAGCCACAAGCAACCATCAGAGCTACCAGCCACCATCAGAGCTACCAGCCACCATCAGAGCTACCAGCCACCCATCAGAGCTACCACCACCCATCAGAGCTACCAGCCACCATCAGAGTATCAGCCACCATCAGACTACCAGACACCCATCAGAGCTACCAGACACCCATCAGAGCTACAGACACCCATCAGAGCTACCAGACACCCATCAGATTACCAGACACCCATCAGAGTACCAGCCAATCAGAGCCAAAGCAAACCATCAGAGCACCAGCCACCCATCAGAACCAGCCACCCATCAGAGCTACCAGCCACCCATCAGAGCTATCAGCCACCCATCAGAGCCACAAGCAAACCATCAGGCCTGCCACCCATCAGAGCTACCAGCCACCCATCAGAGCTACCAGCCACCCATCAGAGCTACCAGCCACCCATCGAGCTACCAGCCACCCATCAGGCTATCAGCCACCATCAGAGCTACAGACACCCATCAGAGCTACCAGCCACCCATCAGAGCTACCAGCCACCCATCAGACTACCAGCCACCAGAACCACCAGCCACCATCAGAGCTACCAGCCACCCATCAAACTACAGCACCCATCAGATCAAAGCAAACCCATCAGAGCTACCAGCCACCCATCGAGCTACCAGCCACCCATCAGAGCTACCAGACCCCATCAGAGCTACCAGACACCCATCAGAGCTACCAGCCACCCATCAGAGCTATAGCCACCCATCAGACTATCAGCCACCCATCAGAGCTACCAGACACCCATCAGGTACCAGCCACCCATCAGAGCTACCAGCCACCCATCAGAGCTACCAGCCACCCATCAGAGCTACCAGCCACCCATCAGAGCTACCAGCCACCCATCAGAGTATCAGCCACCCATCAGACCCACCCATCAGAGCTACCAGCCACCCATCAGAGCTACCAGCCACCCATCAGAGCTACCAGACACCCATCAGAGCTACCAGCCACCCATCAGAGCTACCAGCCACCCATCAGAGCTAACAACTTACTCTCAAGAATGAGTTACCAAGTAGCTGTACCTAAGGGAGAGAAGGTATTACTATGCTGAGGGAGTAACGAGACAGTGACCGTCACTCGGGAGTTACAGAGCCACCAGAGAGTGTCCAGCCAGCGAAAGTAACAACAGCGGTAAGGGACATAGTAGTAGTGGAGATCCTGTAAATGTTTTTAATTACAAGAACAACAATAATGTCTTTACTTACTAATAATCTACAAACATCTTATGACTAATAAAGGTAACAGATATTACGTAAAGATTCAGAGCTTATTTTACCTGATGATTAAACAAACACCTTCATGCTACCTGGGGTGGGGGGGGATAGGTTAGGTTAGGTTAGGTTAGGTTAGGTTAGGTTAGGTTAGGTTAGGTTAGGTAAGCATTAGGGGCTTTAATCATCAGGTGAAATAGACTGTGATGTTTAATTTCCAGGTGAACAGAAATTTTAACTCTTTATGAAAAACTTAAATGGCTGAAGACAACACACACACACACACACACACACACACACACACACACACACACACACACACACACACACTATTTTCCCTTGATAAATTAGATAGTTAATCTTATTTATTGTATTATAAAGGTGTAGAGAGATTATAAGTGTTATATTAATGTGTTATATATACGACAGCGAGAGGCATTTATAAAGTCTTGTTTATCTCTTGAATAGTGACCCCCCACCACTTCACGTGTTCCTCCACCACACTTCCTCCTCCAGCACCTCCTCACCACCTCCTCCTTCACCTAAACCTCCTCCTTCTACCTCTCCTCCACTACACCTCTTCCTTCAACACATCCTCCTCCAGCACATCTCCCCCAGCACACCTCCTCCTCCAGCACCTCCCTCTTCAACACAGCTCCTCCTCCACCACACCTCCTCCTCCCTACACCTCCTCCTCCAGCAATCCTCCTCCAGCACCTCCTCCTCCAGCACCTCCCCTCCTCCAACACACCTCCTCCTCCAACACCTCCTCCTCCATCCTCCTCCCCCACCTCCTTCCACTACACCTCCTCCTCAGCACACCTACTCCTCCAGCACCCTACTCCTCCAGCACACCTCCTCCTCCACAACTCCTCCACACCTCCTCCTCCACCACACCTCCTCCTCCAGCACCTCCTCCTCCAGCACACCTCCTCCTCCAACACAGCTCCTCCTCCAGCACACCTCCTCCTCCATTTCCTCCCATCACCAGACCTCCAGAACCAATCTAACACAACATCGAACCTTCACGATGTAGACAGTTGTAGCCGTCGATAACCGGACACCCTTATGGATGATCCGGTCACCAACGATTAATAAGAGGGAGAGAGAGGATAGAGGGGAGGAGAGGAGGAAAGAAGGAGAGGAAGAATGAAGGATAGGAAGGAGGGAGATAGCGAAAAGAGAAGAGAGAGATAATAGGGTGAGACACAGGGGGGTGACGAGAGGACCTGCCTGACGGGGGGGGCGGAGGGGCAGGAGGGTAGTTAGTGAGTGAGGCGGAAAAACAATGGACTTACGCCTTCCTCTATTACCCATGATCCTCTGAGCTCCATAATTTTTACACTCTTCCCTAATTGATTATTAGTTGTGGTTCCTAATCTGGTGGAGGGGGTAGGGGCAGGTGGGGGGAGAGGTGAGGGAGGTGAGTTGGGATGGTGGTGGGGATGGGAGGCTTCACATCCCCCTTTTCCGCCATCACCCTCCTCGTCCTCCATCCCCCTCCCCCACTCTCCATCACCTCCCACCATAAACACTACAATGAAAGAGGCCAAAACTAGCGTCCACCACACCCTCCATCACCCCACCCCATCCCCCCTCCATCACCCCACCATAAAACACTACAATGAAAGAGGCCAAAACTAGCGTCCACCACACCCTCCATCACCCTCCCCACCCACCCATCCCCTCCATCACCTCACCATAAAGCACTACAATGAAAGAGCCAAAACTAGCGTCCCCACCCCTCCATCACCCCCTCCCCACCCCTCCATCACCCCCCCCCCTCCATCACCTCACCATAAAGCACTACAATGAAGAGGCCAAAACTAGCGTCCACCACACCTCCATCACCCTCCCACCCCTCCATCCCCACCCCCTCCATCACCCTCACCATAAAGCACTACAATGAAAGGCCAAAACTAGCGTCCAACACCCCTCCATCACCCCATCCCCTCCATCACCTCACCATAAAGCACTACAATGAAAGAGGCCAAAACTAGCGTCCACCACACCCTCCATCACCCCTCCCCACCCCTCCATCACCCCATCCCCTCCATCACCTCACCATAAACACTACAATGAAAGAGGCCAAAACAGCGTCCAACACCCCTCCATCCCTCCATCCCCCCCTCCATCACCCACCATAAAGCACTACAATGAAAGAGGCCAAAACAGCGTCCACCACACCCCTCATCACCCCCATCCCCTCCATCACCTCACCATAAAGCACTACAATGAAAGAAGCCAAACAACGTCACCACCTCCCACCCCACCCGTCCCCCTCCATCACCCCACCCCTCCATCACCCACCATAAAGCACTACAATGAGGCCAAAACTAGGCCATCACACCCCTCCATCACCCTCCATCACCCCACCCCACCCCCCTCCATCACCCTCACCATAGCACTACAATGAAAGAGGAGGCCAAACTAGCGGCCATCACTCTCCTCCTCCCAGACCGACCTGCCCCAAATCCTCTTACCTGTACCACCTCTGCTTACGTTATCTTATTGCTGGAAATGGTTGATGGTTTCTCCCTCTGTACTATCTGTCTGTCTGTCTGTCTGTACTGTCAGTCTGTCTGTCAGTATGTCTGGTTCTTGGCTTTATATTCTCTTTTACCTCACCCTCCACCTATACCCTCTACCCTCCACCCTACCCACCCTACCCTCCACCCTATACCCTCCACCTCCACCCCCTATACCCTCACCCTATACCCTCCACCCTATCTCCTCCACCCCTATACCCTCCACCCTATACCTCCCACCTATACCCTCACTATATCCTCCACCCTAACACCTCCACCTGCACCCCTACCCTCCACCCTACCTCCACCCTATACCCTCCCTCCCTATATCCTCCACCCTATACCCTCACTATACCCTCCACCCTATTCCTCCATCCCTATACCTCCACCCCTACCCCTATACCCTCCACCCTATACCTCCATCCTCCACCCCTACCACCCTCCACCCCTATACCCCTCCATCCTCCACCCCTACACCCTCACCCCTATACCTCCCCCTCCACCCTCCACCCTATACCCTCCACACCTCCACCCTCCATCCTCCCACCTCCACTCTCTCCTGCCCTCCACCCTCCACCCCACCCTCCACCCCTCCACCCCTATACCCTCCCCTCCACCCTCCCTCTACACCTCCACCCCTCCACCCTCACCCTGCTTCCCTAAACCTCATCCTCCATCCCCTTCACCAACTCCTTCCTTCATCCTCCTTCCTCACCCTCTCCTCCTGGTGGTGGCTTGCCTGGAAAAGAAGGAAGGAAGGAAGGAAGGAAGGAAGGAAGGAAGGAAGGAAGGAAGAGGGAGGGGAGGGAGGGAGTGGGGAGGGAAGGAATGAGGAGGAGGGTGGGGAGAGA